ACAATGTAAGGATAAGGGCGGGTTTATTTATGTAAAATGTTACGGATAGGGTTGGGTTTATCTATGTACACTGTACAAGATAAAGACGGGTTTTTATATGTACACTGCACAGGATATGGGTGGGGTTATCTTTGTACAGTGCACGGATAAGGACGGGTTTATATATGTAAACTGTACAGGATAAGGTTGGAGTTATCTATGTATAGTGTATAGGATAAAGACGGGTTTATCTATGTAAACTGTACAGGATAAGGTTGGGGTTATCTATGTATAGTGTACAGGATAAAGACGGGTTTATATATGTACAGTGTACAGGATAAGGTTGGGTTTATCTATGTATACTGTACAGAATGAGGACAGGTTAATCTCTGTACACTGTACAAGATAAGGACAGGTTTACTTATGTACCAAGTACAGGATAAAGAAAGGTTTATCTATGTACAATAAGGACGGGTTTAGCTCCGGGTCCGAGGATGAACTGGAGAGAAGATTGTATGAAAAGGTTTCTAAGGGAGGACGGATCTATAGAGACTAAAGAACCAGAGATCAAACCCAATTTGAAACCCATAACAAGACTCTAGCTTAATCTTAGCTTAAACAAATTCCAATAATCAAGTTTTTTTTTAGTTTTTTTTTCTACTTTTCATTCAAAAATATATTTCAGAAGAAATTTAACTAATATTTTACAATGGTCATCATTATTCGATTGTGAAAAGTTTTAGATAAATTTTTCAAAGAAATTAAATATAATAGTTCAATATTTCCAGATGTCTGTAATCTGTCAAAAATTTGTTTAAACTTGATGCAAACTTCAATGCTGGAATATGAACCTGTTATATGTATCTATATGTATATATGTATATAGATAAACGTATATTTATTGTTTATATAACACAATTAAATAATCAATATGTACATATTAATGCACACATTAAGCTGAACAACATAGGCGAAATCTAGGAGGGGCATGGGGATCAGCCTCCCCCCCTCATGAATGTAACCCATGGCAAATTTCTGAGTATGCCTTAAATTGAATCATCTCAGTTTCAAAGTTAATAACAAAATTGAAATAAGAATTAAATTCTTAAATTTTTTTTAATGAAAAAACTTTCAGAAATAAAATCTCTCTTTTACTCCATACTTTTATTCAGGGATTTATTACAAACTTTTTACATCAAATTCCGCACCCAGCTTTCAATATTATGTTTTATATTTTTTTCTAAACTTATTTTCATGTTTATATTTTATGGATTTTTAAATGTTCCCTCTGGAAAAAGTGTCCTATCTCCTTGTTTATACAGGGTGTCCCAATAAACATGGGAATTCATTGACAAATTCAATATCGTCTTTAAAATAATTCTTTGATTTAGTATAGTGATACCTACTGAGAAAGCTGTAACTTAGTAAAACAAGAAAATTACAGTCTACGAAAAGAGTAAACTTCACTGTTCATCTTCTGAAGACATTATAGACACATCTTTACAGTCTTTTACCCTTTTCATAAATTAAACCCTAGTAGACATAATAATATTATGGCTTTTGAAATTAGGTAATACAATGCTAATTCATAACAAAGACGATATCGAATTCGTCACTGAATTTACATGTTTTTTGGGACACCCTGTACATAATTCCTATCGAAAAAGAGGGAAAACAGAAAACCAATAATTCTTTAACCTTCAATTTATCTATTTCTAGAAACTTTACTGAGAATTGATCCAACAAAACACAAAATAGAACAGATTCATTCTGTTTTTCATTTCAAAAATAATTTAAATTGGTTTTAATAACCTACTTAACTAAACCGTTGTTTTGGTACTTTAATTAAAATATGCAAACCACAAAGTCTTTTTCAATAAACTTCTCTAATCCCTTTATATTAGCAAGTTGCAACCCAATCTTAGTTTAAAGAATTCTCCATTCGTTCGCAAAGATATAGTAGTTATAAAATTTGAGTTTGTGGCAAAACTCAATTCCTTTCGTTATTCATTTCGTTATCGAAGATGAACAGAGTAGAACAAATCTGTTAAAGTTTTATTTAATTTGAATATTGCGCCTCTATATTTTCAACAAAAAAAGGGTTCGTAAAACTAAGATAGACAATCGTCGGGGCGCACAAAGGAATCTGTCCAGCTGGGTGTTTGCATTTCCTTTCTTTCCAAGGGGCTCGGCACCCGTTTGGTGTTGAGCCATGGGTTTTACGAAATCCGGGGGTGGTATAGCGCCTCTGACAACCTATCTCAATTTGTGTTGAAAAAATAAAGTCTGTTTGCCCTCATTCTTTAAGAAGAAATTCCCCTAGGGAAGTTTTGGTTTTCTTATTGTATTATGATGTGATTTGAGTTCTATAATGTTCATTTAGTCCGGGGGGATTCGGGGATTTTCCAACCACTAATGGAGGAATAAAACCATTGCTGGGGGGGGGGGGAAATAAAGAAGTTTTTCATAAAATTAAAACATGAATTTTCAATATGAACTTGAAAACAACATATAAATAAATCAATGTAGTTAGAATTGCCAGGCCCAAATTTTTACTTTGCCAAATTTTGCTATTTGGGTCGTCGACCGTCGTTCTCCGAAGGAAGTTTATTTTCTTGAAGGAGTTTAGTATGTTTATTTGGTAAATATATTGTTTCGATTGGATGTTTTAAAATCTCAAGAAAAATGTTCTTAATTAACTAAGCCGTCAACACAAATTATACATTGGTAATCAGAAAATTCTGGAATAGGAAGACGACTCTAAGACTCAATTTATTACTTTAAATCTCCGTACATGAGGCACAGCAAGTGTGCAGTGTAAACAGACCCATTTCAATTAATAAGTGATATAATAACTTACTATACAGGGTGTCTCACATCATATTGGATGGCGCTATTAAATTACGATTTCAGGAACTATAATCAGAAAATCTAAAAAGAACGAATCATTTAAAAAAAATTGTACATTGCTAATACAAAGATTTGCATGTAGAAAAAACTAGGTTTTCGACTATTATGTGCGTATTTTGGCGTTACAGCTTGGAGATAATCCTATATGATAACAATCAGTATTGCTTTTATGTCGTCTTCCTATTCTACAGTTTTCTGGTTATACCTGTACGTACTACAAATCCGTATTGATTTGCTGTATTTTGGGATTTTTTGGTGGACCATGCTTTTCTTCGGTCTAGGAATGACACGAGGAGTAATGTAATGGAGTCCTTGGGAAATCTTGTTCGTTTTCTAAAAGAGTTTACGTTCAACAACAGTCACCAAAATAATACATCTTTTATCCTACTTAGGTGCGTTCTTCAAAATGTTAAGGCAAAACTAGGGACAAATGGTAAAAATGTCATACGTTTTTTAGGCGTTAACATAAAATTTTTATGTTTTTTATTTTTAAAATATAGTGTTGACTCATTTATATAATTTCCAACCTATAAACTATACATACTCCTCCGACACAACCCAACTACAAAATATTCTAATTTTGCCTTTGTTAGCGAGGTTAATAAAATTTTGATCACTATTTAGCACAGTTAACGAAATTGCGTAATTTAAATAATTTCATGTTTTTAATGTACACATTTAAGTTACTATACTTACTCAAAGTCATTATTCTAAAAAACATTTAAAGATCGACTTTAGCACAAGAGAGAAAAATTGACAAGCAGGTCGTTTCTTTTGTAAAGTTTTTGGTTTTTATTTAATTCTCATCTTATAAGCATAACCAGATGCATAACTTTTAATCAATTCTAAGAAGACAAAATTTAAAGAAAGAATAATGAAAAGAAACCAACATTTTGCTCAAAGAATTCTAAGAAACATAAAATTAAAATTGAGAGAAATAATTTTTACCTGGGTTTCCTCATGCAAACGCTTGAAAAAAAAAATATTTTATTTATCATTTTAGGAAGACGACAGTGATTCATAAATGTAAGACGATATTGGAGTTTTTCTTATCCAACATTATCATTTATTACATTTTTTTTATTTTTAAAGTTTTTTGATTCTTTTTTTTCAAACTTTAAGGGGTTTTTATCATTGTATTAAAAAATGTTAAAACAATTCAAAATGGTTTTATAAACCTGCAGAACATTTAAAAAAAATCATATTTATAGGGAAAGCAGTTCGCAAATTTGTATGTTCTTTGATCGTTGAGTGTTAACGATCAATTGACTATCAAAATCGTTTTCAAACAAATATATTTACCATCAATTACAATATTTATTTGAAGTATTAGAACTTTAGACAAAGGAGAAGGGAAAGACGACATTACGCATTAATATATCTTTTAGAAGGGTCGTCTTCCTGCCTAGCCCTTTCTTATTCCGTAAATAATATTTCCATTGAAGGCACCGTATTTTAGAAAGTAGCTTTTAAAAAAATAACCTGACACGTTCTACGTTGCTATAGATTATGGATAAAAATAAGACACTGTTTGAAAATTGAAATGTCACGAACAGACAATTCAAATGAAACTTTTTTCTGGAGCTCTTCCTTAAATTATTTGACTCATCTTTGTTAGCAACACAATTTAAATTACAAGAAACTGGATCATGTGAAACGTAACATACCTAAAATAAAAATGTTTTTAACATAAAATGCTTTACCGACACTATTTCTAAGCAAGAAGTTGACTTGCAAAAAAACTGAAAGTTTAAATTTTCCAATAAATAGGACATATCAGTATATTTAAAATACTTCCGACTAATGTAAATCCGGAAATGATTAGCGGACAAAGCTTTACAGGCGACAATCCACAACTAGGAAACCCCATGAGATATTAAGATTTAGTTAATATATGTGGTATATGTGGAATATAAAGATAAAAATATATTTGGTGCAGGAATTGAAAGGAAGCACCTGAAGTAACCATTTTCTTTATCTATAAAAATTTAGGTCAATTCGTTCGGCCAACTTTTCAAAATTCAAAATTTAATAGAGTCCATTTTATTAGGTTTCATAACATCTTACAAATTGATAGATCTAATAATTAACTTTCCAACCTAAGATGCAAGTCATATTAAGCTACAATTATGTATTTACGTTTTTTCAAGATACATGTACATAAATATTATATAAAAGCTAAACTATGCAGAGAGCCATGACCCCCTGAGATCACAGACCATGTGTACAACAGATTTGGAAGAAAATTAATCTTGTTTCAAATAATTAATTTTATGTCTTTAGAGAAATTGTGATTTAGAAGCACTTCCTGTGGACAATGGAAGGTCCGGACTCGTCGTACTCCTGCTTAGAGATCCACATCTGTTGGAAGGTGGAGAGGGAGGCCAGGATGGATCCTCCGATCCAGACGGAGTACTTCCTTTCTGGAGGAGCAATAATCTTAATCTTCATTGTGCTGGGGGCCAGGGCGGTGATCTCCTTCTGCATCCTGTCGGCGATACCGGGGTACATGGTGGTTCCTCCGGACAGGACAGTGTTGGCGTACAGGTCCTTACGGATATCAACATCGCACTTCATGATGGAGTTGTAGGTGGTCTCGTGGATACCACAGGACTCCATACCAAGGAAGGAAGGCTGGAAAAGAGCCTCAGGGCATCTGAACCTTTCATTACCGATTGTGATAACCTGACCGTCGGGAAGCTCATAGGACTTCTCGAGAGAAGAGCTGCTAGCAGCGGTGGCCATCTCCTGCTCGAAGTCCAAGGCGACGTAGCAAAGCTTCTCCTTGATGTCCCTGACGATTTCTCTCTCGGCGGTGGTAGTGAAAGAGTATCCTCTCTCGGTCAAGATCTTCATGAGGTAGTCTGTCAGGTCACGTCCAGCCAAGTCAAGACGGAGAATAGCGTGAGGCAGAGCATATCCTGAAATGGAAATAACGTTAGAAATCTATTGTTAGCTTGATGAATGAAGATAGTGAGTGAAGATCGGAAGATGGGAATTACTTTCACCCCACACCATTACTAGACTGCCCCGGGTGTATAAATCCTTGACAGATGTGCACAATAACAGGTAGATATTGGGGAATTCAATGGCCCTTGAATAGGGTGGGGGGCTAGTGGGGCCAGGGCGGGGGGGTCGAAAGAATAAGGCAAAATTTTACCTTCATAGATGGGGACAGTGTGAGAAACACCATCTCCAGAATCAAGAACGATACCAGTGGTACGTCCAGAGGCGTAGAGGGAGAGAACGGCCTGGATAGCGACGTACATAGCGGGGGTATTGAAGGTCTCGAACATGATCTGGGTCATCTTCTCCCTGTTGGCCTTGGGGTTGAGGGGGGCCTCAGTCAGGAGGACGGGGTGCTCCTCAGGGGCGACACGGAGCTCGTTGTAGAAGGTATGATGCCAGATCTTCTCCATATCATCCCAGTTGGTGACGATACCGTGCTCAATAGGGTACTTCAGGGTGAGGATACCTCTCTTGCTCTGAGCTTCATCTCCAACATATGAGTCCTTCTGTCCCATACCGACCATGACTCCCTGATGACGGGGACGGCCAACGATGGATGGGAAAACAGCTCTGGGAGCATCGTCTCCGGCGAATCCAGCTTTGCACATGCCGGAGCCATTGTCAACGACCAGGGCAGCTACTTCATCGTCACACATTTTGAAAACTTTGTTTTGTCACGTTGTGTTGTGCACAGATAGAACGCCGAAGAGCGAATGATGAACTGAGCGGGTGCTGGAAGCTAATATAGACACAGGGCACGGTTGCAGCCAGTGAGCTGTGTGAGTCAGAAACCGGGTAGAATACACAGACAATTCCTTATAAGGGCATAGAGTCAGTACTCGACTCTGATTGGTCCGCTGGTTTGGTACTCATCCACACAATGCAAGGAGTGCAGGCAGGTCGGGCCAGGTCCCAGGAATTCGAGGTTTAAAAATTTCAAACCATATAGGGGAAGAGAAGGAAACCCTCGTAAGGAGAAGGCTTGAGGTAGGCAGTAAGCACACGTGTTTTATGGAATGCCTTATAACCTATCTATCTATCTTTCAAGCAAAACATAAACTCTTACTTTGAAGTTTCAATTCTTGTTGCATTTACTTAACTGAAGAAGGGAAAATTTGCAATTGGCAGTTTATATCATTATATTGTTTATAATACATCGTATATGTTTACTTTTGCATGACACCCAATATCTTCAGCATATTTGACATATTTGCGTCAAAGCCTTTCTTTAGCATACTTTTACTTTCAATTCTTATCTCAAAATCTCACATACATAATCTTTAAAGATATCATCAATCATCATGGTTTTCATTATTGTCAAGAATAAAATATATGAGGTTTTGTTTTTAATTTTGAAATCCCAATATACTTTTTAAAATCCTATTTAATTGAAAATAATTTAAATATGTTTCATTGGGGTGGG